TGTTACTTTTATTGAACATGGGGAGACATGATTAACTGATCTTGGCAAGACCTATTGGCCCATCTTTTCCAGTACTGTGCTTTTTTTCAGGATATCTTTTTAAATCTTGACTGCTTGAAATAGAGGAGACACAGGGGTTGAAACCTGGGTGAGTTTTTTCCCAGGGGAATTTTTTTTTTTTAATTGTTCTCACTGGGGGCTGGAGAGATGGCTCAGTGGTTAAGAACACTGAATGTTTTTACAGAAGACCCAGGTTCGAATCCCAGCACCCACATGGCAGCTAACAACTATCCATAACTCTGGTTCCGGGGGATCTGACGTCCACTTCTGACTTCCACAAGCATTGCGTGATGCAGATGCACTTATACATATGCAGGCAATACATGCACACATAAAATAAAAATAATAAATAAAATATTTTAAAAAATGTTCTCAATATGCAGCCCTGACTAGCCTGGAACTCTCTATGTAGACCAAGCTGGCCTCAAACTCATAAAGCTCTGCCTGTCTCTGCCTCCAGAGTGCTAGGATTACAAGAGTATGCCATCACACCTGGTTCTTTCCAGGAAAATTTTAAAGTAAGCATGGGGATGCAGAAATTGCTGTCTTGACTGTGACAAAGAGGAACAATGGAATTTGACCCACTGGGTTATTGAAGAAGGCTTGCTACCTTGTCACCCTTTAATGACACATACAGATTCCTTTTTTTTCTTTTTAAAATACTTTTTGAAATTGACAGAAATTATACATGTTTATGGAGTGCCATTTGGTGTTTTAATCCATATACATGTTGTGTGGTGCTATATCAGAGTCAGCATATTTATCAAATATTTACTTGTTTTTGATTGCTTCTTTGTAGCTCAGGTTGGCCTCAAACTCATTATCCTCTTATATCTTCCTCTTGAGTGCTGGGATTCAGGTGTATATCACTATATCCAGCCTACCATATATCATTTCTTTGTGGTGAAAATAATTAAAACTCCATCTTGTAGATTTTTCTGAAATAAACAGTACAGTGTTCATCTGCAGTCCCTCTACTGTATAGAAGGACATACAACTAGTTTTCTTATCTAACTGTAAATGACTATTGATCAACCTCTCCTTATCCTCTCTCTCCCCTTGAGAAGAAATCCTTGAAATAAAGTTTTTGGAATACTTAGTTATTAATTAGGTGAGTTTAAACCTGTGGTGACTATAGAAATTACAAGAATGGACCTTTGGTACCCAGTCAAAATGAAGAGTGTTTGTTTTCCTCTGCAATGAAATAAACCCACTGTCCTTTCCACTTAGCAGCATCTGTCAGAAGCTTTTTCTCATCTAAGCGGTAAGAACGTGCCTGGTTGCTCAGGGACTGAGGTCAGGGTGGTACACCTGGCCCTGAGCTGCAGTGTGCTAGATGCAGCCTGGCATCATGGGGGAGGAAAATGAGACATAGTGTCAGATATGGAGACCTTGTCTGGCTCCATCTCCCTGAACTCCTCCACTGTCTGGTTTATGCACAGCGCACAAGGCCTTCTCCTTACTAAACATGTCCTGTCCTTCTGCCAGGGCTCTGTCAGATGACAAAGCAGCTCAGGATAGCGGAGGATGCAGCCCTTGCTTTTACAAGGATTGGTTCCAGAGGAGGTTCTGAAAAGCAGCTCATGAGTACCTTCATACATTTCAAATGATAGTTTGTGCATCGTTGTAATGCCACCTCTTGGTGACTGGCAGAATGAACATGCTCTGGCACTGAGCTGCACTTGTGAGGAACCTCATAAGCTGAGCAGCTTCTGCATTTACTGTGTGGGAATAAAACTGTGTATAATAATAGCAGCGACAGTGCTTATGGATTTCCCTGCCTCATGTTACTATCAGCATATACTAGTCAGGAAGAGTTCTGGGGAAAGGAGAAGATTTGCCTCTTACTAAACCCCTTGTCTTTGGTAGATTTAGTTTGCTCTCAGTGGAATCTCAGAAATTGAGATTATTGCCAGTGTTTCTTCCATTTGGGTTGCAGGTTAGACTCATCCGAGGAACATTAAAGCATTTAACACTCAGGCCACACCTATAACCACTGATGTTAGGCTCTGGGCAGAACCATGCATCGGTATTCATTCATTCATTCATTCAATCATTCATTCATTCATTCAATCATTCATTCATTGTCTAGAAGCTCTCTAGTGAGTCCATAGGAGGAGTCAGGTGGGGGACACTGCTTCCTGTAGCTTCTTCAGCTATGTTCCCAGCAGGCCCTTAGGGTGTAGGGCATGATGGGACTGGAAAGGAGGAAGTACCAAGGGCTGCCCCACAGAGAAGGCCCAGGGTTGCACCCTGCTTGCCTTAAAGCCAGGAAGCTGTGAGCATTCTAGTACATCCAAGAAACTAACCAGAAATGTTCATTACATTAGGGGAAAAAATGTTCTAGTGGAACAAACTCTAAAGTTCCAAAAAATACTCAGTTGTAAAAATATTGTTTTAAAGTAATATACTTGACTAAACAAAACTTAAAAATGCAGAAGGGTGACAAGTGAATCACTTAGAAAATATTTAAACATGTACAAGCATAGAGTTTTGTTCTTTTTATTGCTGTCTTTTTATTTTTATTTTTTTGAAACTGGCCTCAAACTCGTGTAGCTGAGGATGACATTAAACTGCTGATCCTCCTGCCTCCACCTCCCAAGTTCTTTCTAAACCATAAAATACAATGCATCCCGCTATCCTGCCACTGATCCTTGCTTTTAATATGATTTATCAACAAACAAGTATTTCTGCATTGGTTAGAATTTCACGATAGTGACTGATGAGACAAAATAGATGGCATTCTAACCCTTAGAAAGCATGCTGTAAAAACAGGCTATGGTGGGCCATGTCTATAATTCGATACTTGAGGATGAGGGCAAAGGCTGGAGGATCAGAAATTCAAAGTCATTCTTAGCTATACAGTGAGTTTTAAGTCACCTTGGGCTCTAGGAAATGGTTTTTAAAAAGTTTCTTTTTAAAAAATAAAAATTTATATTTTATGTGTATGCGTGTATTGCCTGTATGTAGGTAAGTGCACCCATGTCGTGCAGTGCCCACGGAGGTCAGAAGAGGCTGTTGGATCCCCTGGGACTGGAGTTAACGGACAGTTGTTAACTGCCATGTGGTTGCTGGGATTTGAACCCAGGTCTTCTGCAAGAACAACCAGTGTCCTTAACTGCTGAGCCATCTCCCCAGCCCCTTAAAAAGTTTCTTAAAATGAGAAAGAAAGTAGATGACAATTAAGTTCAGTAAATGTTTAAGGAAGAAAGAGTGAGAGTGGTCAGATGACATTGAGTAGAGAAAGTGAAATGTGAGTCAGCTTTTAAAAGAGCTGAGAGGTGGTCACAAGGGTGTGGTTCTAGGGAAGAGCTGAACAAGATGGGTAGGAATTAATCTTTCTTTATTTTAGATTTAAAAAAATATTTTTTCTATTTTTTAAAATTAAAAT